TTCAGCTCTGTCTCACTGACTAAACTGTGCTTAAAATAAACGGGTCACTGCTGCAGTTCCTTTGTAACCTTTCCCTGTGTGATGGGAGAGCTCACACAGCACCCCCTTCCTGTTGCTTTTGTGAGTTTTATTCCAGAATTAGAGTTGAGTTTCTTAAAACATTCATATTGGAGACCTGTGATGTGCCCGTGGGCACTAAGTGTGGCTGAACCAATTTAACGGTTAGACAAAATCTCACCGAGAGCACGCCAGTGGGCCAGGCACTCAGGAGGCTGAGGCAGGAGGACCGCATGTTTGAGACCAGCCTGGATTACGTAAGTGAGACACTACCACAAACAAACAAACTAAAGAAAACCTCAGGTGCAGAGCTCTATGTATTTTTAACTAAATGAATATGCTTTTTGGAGGTGACATGTTTTTGTTTCTTTGTGGTTATGATTTATTTATTTATTTTGCACTACTGGGGATTAAACCCAGGATTTTGCAGATGCCAGTTAAGTATTGAAAGAACAACGCTGATCCCAGCCCTTTTTATATTTTATTTTGATACAAGATCTTGACACGTTGCCTGGGTTGGCTCTGAATTTGTGATCCTCCTGCCTCAGCCTCCCAAGTAGCTGGGAATGTGCCATCATGCCTGGAAGAGTTGATAGTTTTTTTTAAATCTTTTTTTCTAAAACTAAAATTTCATTTGTACTTTCACAGATAAATTTTCTTAACTACTTAGAAGATTTTACTTTGTTTATATTTTGTGGCATATTTTAAATATCAAATTGAGAATATTAACCCTTCCTAGAAGGTTGCAAAAACACATAGGTTGACTAAAAAGAGAACTTCTTAGAAAGCTTAGTACAACCTTCTTGGAAAATGTGAGTGAGGAATGCCATCCATTTATGAAAACAGCAGAAAACACAATCATGTGGTGCTGGAGAAGTGATAAAGCATTTTTTATTTTTAAAAATATCTTATCTTTATTTTTGTTAAATTAAATGTTTTTCTGCACTAAGTACTGATATTTAGTACTAACTTTCCTCACTAGGTAATTGATTTTGAAGTGACTCAATTTCATATTATATTACTTAAACTTGAAGGAAGCCAAACAAAGAATGATAACATATTGGAATAAATATTAGGTTTAAACTTGCATGAGCTATTTTCAGGTAGGTATTATTTCAGAATAAGAGCATCCATGTTCTTGGTACTATGCACCTGTTTCCCCAGAAGTGTTCTCATAATGGCAAATTCATTGCTAGATTAACGTTTGCTTTCTTAGACCTCTTTCTGAAAAAGGGAGGCAACTTGGAAGGTCTTTTACATGGCCAAGGCAGGAAATCATTGAGCTTTTGTACATTAGGAGGGAGAAAGCTTTCCCTTGCTTCCTGCAAGAAGGAATTTGCTCAAATACAAAGTACCTTACACGAGACACTTAGGTTTTGTCACAGATGTAAGAAATGTTAGGTGTAATTTGTAGAAATTTATCCTCTAACTTCATTCCTATCTAGATCTGTCAGACGCTAAAACTAGTTTTCCTTTAGCAGAAAATTCTGGTGATTATTAGGAAGAAGTGTGCCTAGGTGGTCACACATCTGATAGACGCGAGAGGCGTGAGTGGCCCTTTGCCGGTCGTGTAACCGGGTCGTACTTGGCACTAGTATCTCAGAACGCGAGAAACAACAGCCAAGATCTAGAGAAAAAAAATTTTTATATATGTAAAGAGCAAATTCTAAGTTTTCTTAAATTTTATTTTAGAAAAGGTACAGTGAAAACCACCGAGCAGTTGAGTTTGCTGATTATGGTTTGATTTGCTTTAGTACGTGTACGACTATGACAGATATAAATGACATAAATGTCTTTCTTGCTCATTGCATTGATCTCGGCCTTGAAAGCTGCTTGTTTTTAAGTATCCGTCCTTCTGCTGTGTGGTTCAATCTAGGCCGACAGAGTACTTCTCGGTGGTCCTGGCAGCTTCTACTGGCAAGGTAAGTTAACATTTACTGCATTACCAAGCCACTGTTTGTGTTTCCGATTCACCCAGTTTGCCGTGCATTTAGGAAAATTTTCAAGTCACTCTATTTTATTGTACTTTTTCTCCCCCAGTACTGGGGATCGAACCCATGGCCTTTTGCACTTAGCTACCTCCCCAGCCCTTTTACTTACTTTTTATTTTAGACGTCATCTCATTGAGTTGCTAAATTGTCCGAAAGGGGCTTGGACTTGGGATCGTCCTGCCTCAGCCTCTTGGCCTGCTTGCTGGGATTACAGGCGTGCACCACCACACCACACAGAAAAATCAGCAAACTATGGCCCATGGACCTTGTTTTAGTAAAGTTTTATTAGAATATAGCCACATCCATTTACTCAAACATCCTCTGGGAAAGTTTAGTTCTCTGCCACACAGAATGGCTCCTAAGCCTAAAATATTGACTATCTGGCCTTTACAGAAGAAGGTTACTGAACCCTGAGCTAAATAATAACACTTCAAATCTTAGGAAAAGCTCAGAGAACAACCTCATAAAGCCCAAACCAAAAGTGAATGCCTTTATTCCCAGTAGGCCTGGCTTTCAGCAGCCCTTAATTATTATGCAGATTGTCTGGTCTAGCCCTTGAAAACTGAGCTACCTACAGGTTGAGATTTACTGAGAGAGAAAATACGTAGAAGTAAAAGCTTTGAGTTCTGGATTATACTCTTGAGTTTTGCTGATAATCAATTTATAGCTATGAGTCCTTGATTCCTTACTGGTGAAACGCTAATTGCAGCAAGGCACTCCAGAGGTACAATTTTAGTATTTTGTATGTTCTTCATACCAAAGTAAATTATACAATCAGTAATTGATTGTTAATAGAGTTAATTATGCAACCCAGTTTTGGATTTTATAGGGTGAAGCCAGTTTCGTTGGGCTGCATTGCTGACTTCTTAACAACCTTTACTTGTGTTGGTTGTGAGAGGTGTTTTTGTTTGTGTTTTCTTTTGTTTGATTGATCCTGTGTGGATATCCTGGGTGAGGAACTTCACTGTTTATTTCCAGCTTACCTTAGTACTGATTATAGTTGTGTCCAGCTTTTCCTAACTGGATCTGTGACCATGTTTGGCACTATGTGGTAGACCAGATGTCCATGAGCCACAAGTCACGTGATGTAAAACCTCTGCGTCACGCACAGGTCAGCCCTTTGTTCCTTCTGTCTGCTCTTCGACAATGTTGTGTCTTACAGATTTTCCTCAGTTGTGTTTTCTGGCTGGCATTTACCTGTACTTTCTCATTATTCAGAGAATGACAAATACGTTGTTGATCTGAGGTCACGCAGCCTAAGTAGGATGAGTGTTCGTGGACCCAGCTCTGTATTCCTATTTGCTAGCTGGTTGGCCACTGTCAGGTTTCTCCAAGTTTTGTTTGATTGATCCTGCGTGGATATCCTGGGTGAGGAACTTCACTGTTTATTTCCAGCTTACCTTAGTACTGATTATAGTTGTGTCCAGCTTTTCCTAACTGGATCTGTGACCATGTTTGGCACTATGTGGTAGACCAGATGTCCATGAGCCACAAGTCACGTGATGTAAAACCTCTGCGTCACGCACAGGTCAGCCCTTTGTTCCTTCTGTCTGCTCTTCGACAGTGTTGTGTCTTACAGATTTTCCTCAGTTGTGTTTTCTGGCTGGCATTTACCTCTACTTTCTCATTATTCAGAGAATGACAAATACGTTGTTGATTTGAGGTCACGCAGCCTAAGTAGGATGGGTGTTCGTGGACCCAGCTCTGTATTCCTATTTGCTAGCTGGTTGGCCACTGTCAGGTTTCTCCATCTCATTGAAATGAGTTCTATTCAACATGAAAAGGTTTAGTATATGTTCTGCCGAAGCGAGCACCAACATGAAAAACTTTAAATCGTCACAAACACTCAGCTTAATATGTACCTATTAAGAAAAAATTTAATGGACATGGGGTGGTTATGCTAGGAAGCCAGATAAAACTGTTGTACAGTAAGATCATCAAAATAGGATGTCTTTATAAATAGCTGGAGTTTTTCCCCAGACATAGCTTCAGTAAAGGAAATCAACGGCTGACCTGAGGTCAGTAGAATGCTTTGGTGTGATTCATTCAACCCTGAAAACCCCAGCTGCGCATTTTCCCACTCTCCTTTGGTTAGAAAAATTTACGTGGGGGTAGAATTACACCCTTGAGGCCATTTTCTTAATTTAAAAAAAAAAATGGGATATTCAGTGTGTAGTCTTGGGGCAGTTCCCAGGTTTTAAAACTGGGCTCAGAATTTTTGATGGGATTATTTAGCTAAAAAATTCTTGGAAGTTTTCCTTATGACTAAAAATAGGTATCTTTGGTTCCTATATTTGGATGACCAAGTCAGCATAACTTTTTCTATATCTGTAACATTCGCTACAAGAATTCTCTGCTAACTGAAGGGTGGTGTTTTCCATGTTCCTCGCTTTCCTCAAAACAAAACAAGGAGAGAGATTTCAGAGTTATCCTTCCTTTTTTTCTAGGTTCTCTATTGCTCTTGATTAAAGTTCATTTAAATTGATTGCTTTATTACTTTAACTCAGTTCTTTTCCTTTGCTGAGAACTACAAAAAAGAAGAGCAGTGATTGCAGAAGAACAAAATTATTGACTCACCTGTGGGGGAAAATACTTTCAGAACTGTTATGTTTGAAGGTGTTCACCCTAACTCGACCCTGCCCTGAATGGATTGTGAGGAAAGTTGCACATTTTGCCATCAAAGAACACTGTTTGGACACTGTCATTTTCTGAAATTGCAGATTGTGCTATTCATAGTTTTAATTTTTATTGCTGGCTATAACGGGTATGCAGAGCACATGTATAACTTTGGGAATGTACAAATCTCTTTGTTACTACATGTAATAACTTAGCGAAGAACTAGTATGTGTAGGACGAGCAGAAGCAAGGGGCACGTCAGATGGGAGTGTTTAGCCAGCAAATCAAAACTCTGTAGTGTTTTTATGTCTAGGGGTCACACTGGTAATTTCTCAGAAAATAAAATGAAATATAATAAAGTAGAAAATCCCAGAGCGTTTTGTACACTGCAGTAGTAATATTTTTGTGTGAGATTTTCTTTCATTTCCGTATCTCGCACGTACAGTGTGTTGGGTTGTGATATGAACTATAATCTTGCTGTGGCTTGTTAAGAAAAACACTAAATCTGCTGTTTCGGCAGATTTCTTGCTTCCTGGGGGCCGGGCCGGTCTCCTCAGTGGCTCTGTTTCTGTCTCTGAGGAGAGTCACCCCTAAACCCGAGTACTAACCGGCTCAGAGTGTGCTCATAACTGCCGAATGAATGTGCGCTCAGGGAAACTAGTACCTTACGTGACCAGTTTGGTGATACCAGGTTTTTCTCATGTTTTGTTTTGTGTTGTTTGTTTGGGGTTTGTGTATATTTCCGATCTTTTTATTTTAGAAAATATTGATGCTGATGGACAGGGATTTTGTCAAGGAGGATTCAGCATTGATTTTACTAACGTAAGTTCTCCTTAAAGACTGAACAAGATTCAGCTCTGTCTCACTGACTAAACTGTGCTTAAAATAAACGGGTCACTGCTGCAGTTCCTTTGTAACCTTTCCCTGTGTGATGGGAGAGCTCACACAGCACCCCCTTCCTGTTGCTTTTGTGAGTTTTATTCCAGAATTAGAGTTGAGTTTCTTAAAACATTCATATTGGAGACCTGTGATGTGCCCGTGGGCACTAAGTGTGGCTGAACCAATTTAACGGTTAGACAAAATCTCACCGAGAGCACGCCAGTGGGCCAGGCACTCAGGAGGCTGAGGCAGGAGGACCGCATGTTTGAGACCAGCCTGGATTACGTAAGTGAGACACTACCACAAACAAACAAACTAAAGAAAACCTCAGGTGCAGAGCTCTATGTATTTTTAACTAAATGAATATGCTTTTTGGAGGTGACATGTTTTTGTTTCTTTGTGGTTATGATTTATTTATTTATTTTGCACTACTGGGGATTAAACCCAGGATTTTGCAGATGCCAGTTAAGTATTGAAAGAACAACGCTGATCCCAGCCCTTTTTATATTTTATTTTGATACAAGATCTTGACACGTTGCCTGGGTTGGCTCTGAATTTGTGATCCTCCTGCCTCAGCCTCCCAAGTAGCTGGGAATGTGCCATCATGCCTGGAAGAGTTGATAGTTTTTTTTAAATCTTTTTTTCTAAAACTAAAATTTCATTTGTACTTTCACAGATAAATTTTCTTAACTACTTAGAAGATTTTACTTTGTTTATATTTTGTGGCATATTTTAAATATCAAATTGAGAATATTAACCCTTCCTAGAAGGTTGCAAAAACACATAGGTTGACTAAAAAGAGAACTTCTTAGAAAGCTTAGTACAACCTTCTTGGAAAATGTGAGTGAGGAATGCCATCCATTTATGAAAACAGCAGAAAACACAATCATGTGGTGCTGGAGAAGTGATAAAGCATTTTTTATTTTTAAAAATATCTTATCTTTATTTTTGTTAAATTAAATGTTTTTCTGCACTAAGTACTGATATTTAGTACTAACTTTCCTCACTAGGTAATTGATTTTGAAGTGACTCAATTTCATATTATATTACTTAAACTTGAAGGAAGCCAAACAAAGAATGATAACATATTGGAATAAATATTAGGTTTAAACTTGCATGAGCTATTTTCAGGTAGGTATTATTTCAGAATAAGAGCATCCATGTTCTTGGTACTATGCACCTGTTTCCCCAGAAGTGTTCTCATAATGGCAAATTCATTGCTAGATTAACGTTTGCTTTCTTAGACCTCTTTCTGAAAAAGGGAGGCAACTTGGAAGGTCTTTTACATGGCCAAGGCAGGAAATCATTGAGCTTTTGTACATTAGGAGGGAGAAAGCTTTCCCTTGCTTCCTGCAAGAAGGAATTTGCTCAAATACAAAGTACCTTACACGAGACACTTAGGTTTTGTCACAGATGTAAGAAATGTTAGGTGTAATTTGTAGAAATTTATCCTCTAACTTCATTCCTATCTAGATCTGTCAGACGCTAAAACTAGTTTTCCTTTAGCAGAAAATTCTGGTGATTATTAGGAAGAAGTGTGCCTAGGTGGTCACACATCTGATAGACGCGAGAGGCGTGAGTGGCCCTTTGCCGGTCGTGTAACCGGGTCGTACTTGGCACTAGTATCTCAGAACGCGAGAAACAACAGCCAAGATCTAGAGAAAAAAAATTTTTATATATGTAAAGAGCAAATTCTAAGTTTTCTTAAATTTTATTTTAGAAAAGGTACAGTGAAAACCACCGAGCAGTTGAGTTTGCTGATTATGGTTTGATTTGCTTTAGTACGTGTACGACTATGACAGATATAAATGACATAAATGTCTTTCTTGCTCATTGCATTGATCTCGGCCTTGAAAGCTGCTTGTTTTTAAGTATCCGTCCTTCTGCTGTGTGGTTCAATCTAGGCCGACAGAGTACTTCTCGGTGGTCCTGGCAGCTTCTACTGGCAAGGTAAGTTAACATTTACTGCATTACCAAGCCACTGTTTGTGTTTCCGATTCACCCAGTTTGCCGTGCATTTAGGAAAATTTTCAAGTCACTCTATTTTATTGTACTTTTTCTCCCCCAGTACTGGGGATCGAACCCATGGCCTTTTGCACTTAGCTACCTCCCCAGCCCTTTTACTTACTTTTTATTTTAGACGTCATCTCATTGAGTTGCTAAATTGTCCGAAAGGGGCTTGGACTTGGGATCGTCCTGCCTCAGCCTCTTGGCCTGCTTGCTGGGATTACAGGCGTGCACCACCACACCACACAGAAAGCTGCTTGCTTTCTTTACTTTGTCTTTGCAGATACACAGTTGTTTAATATATATGGATGTGTTTAACCTTTGCTAAAAATTGCTGCTTATGAGGTTATAACTAGTTTTTATTATGGTAGTGTTCAGTACTCGAAACACTGTTAGCCTTTGGAATAACTGGAAAACAATACTGATTTGAAAGTACTTTTCAGTTTTGAACTTTACTTTGATGTTCTACACGGTGCTTTCCTTACTTGGTTCTCTACAGGGAACCCACACTTGCATTTGCTTTATGGAAAGAAAAGCTAAAACGGAGGGGCTTACTAAGCCGCCCAGGCTGGGCTGCACCTGGGACCTGCCTGCCTCAGCTTTGCAGTCAGGGATTACAGGTGTTCCCCACCATTCCCACCCTTGAGCGCCACCTTTAAGAGTCAGAGCATCTACACTACTTGTTCTCTGAATACCTTGGGTATTACACAATACCTTTATGTAGTCCTGTTTACTTAAATTAAGGCAAATGGATACCACCAATATTATAGTTTTTTTTTTATTTTTGCAGTACTGGGGATCAAACTCAGGACCTTTCATCTTTCAAGGCGGGCAGCCACACCACTGAGCTAAATCCCCGGCCTACCGATACTGTGTTTACTGAAGTTCTTTTTTAAGTACTCTGTAACATATACCTAAAAGACTGGGTGAATTGCCAAGCATATTTTATTGTAATAAGATTAAAATCAACTGAATGGGGTAGTGGCTGCCTATAATCCCACATACTTGAAAGGAGGCTGAGGCAGGAGGATCACAAGTTTAAAGCCAGCCTCGGCAACTTAGCAAGATTTTGATCTTTTCTCAAAATAAATACAAATTTTAAAAGGCCTGTGTGTGTAGTTACCAGCAGAGTGTGCACCTAACACGCGGAGGCCCAGCGTTCAATCTCTGATATCACCCCCCACAAAGAAGATGAATTCAGCGGGTTTCACCCTGGACAAATAAGTACATTGGAATGAACTTTTTCACAGATCTCAGTTTTGTCTCTGTAAGAACAGAACAAAAAAAGACAATATTTTATTCCCAGTAGACAATATTTTATTCCTGTTCATTTTGCCATGTTCTTTGATTCAAGTAGGATTTCTTGAACTCCTTCGGTGTCTGCAGTACCTGTTAGGCACAGGTAGTAGAGGCTGACAGAGAGCATTTCTACCTGTGTGACTTAACAAATTGGATCTGCTTTTCAGCTTTTGTGAATTTCTTTCTAAAACAGCAGCAGTGAAGAGCTATTTCCCCATGGATGGAGACACACTGTGGTATCTGGTGAATTCTCCGGACACTGTGGGGAGGGCAGTTACTTCTCTTGAAACAGGGTCTCACTCAGTCACTAAGGTGCCCGGGCTGGGCTCAGACTTGCAGTCCTCCTGCCTCAGCCTCCCAGCATGCTGAGATGGCAGGTTTGTGCACTCTGCTCTTTATGAAGTCATCAGGATTTCTTGTCTGCTTAATAATTTAAGGTTGTGAGCAAAAAATGAACTCACTTGTTCAGGATGCTTTGTAAGGCTGTTCAAGCAACCAGTTAAAATGCATTGAACTTGCTGTTTTGCTTATAAACGTCACAGTATTTACTTAGTACAGTTAATTCTGGAGGGGGATTTATCATTGAGAAAGTTAATAATTCCATTTGTATAGCATTGACTTTTTACCTTCCTTCCTTCCTTCCTTCCTCTTTTCCCTGGTACCAGAAATCAAACTCAGGACCTAGCACTTACTTACAGGCAGGAGCGGCTCTGCTGAACTACATCCCGGCCCTTAGCGCTGACTTTTAAAATTAAATCACATCTGGTTTTTACATTGTTACTAGTGTAGACTACACTGTAAGGACCAACCCAAAGACAAATCATTACTGGATTTATTTTCCTTTGTAATTCTTTATTTAGGTCAGCTCATTTCGGATCAAGTGGCCGAAATCATCTCCAAATACGACCCCAATGTCTACAGCATCAAGTACAGCCACCAGCTGGCCACTCGTGCAGCACAAGCAGTGTTTGATGACAGCTATTTGGGTAGGTAAAACCCAGGACAGACTTACTTTATGGAGTTGCGGTGTATTTGTCCTGTGATTTGCATATAGAATTTTAAGTAGGAAAGAAAAAACCTCTCGTGTGAAGTAGATTAAGATTTATACAAGGGACGTACAGTTTCAAAATTCTTTTGCATACTTAGGTTATGTTACATTTCAATAACTGCCTTCTTGGTTTTTTGGGTTGTTTTTTTTTTTGACTTTGGAGACAAAGTCTCCCTGTGCAGTCCCAGCTGGCAGTGAACTCGTGTGCGATCCCCCTGCCTCAGTCTCCCAAGTGCTGGGATGACAGGCCTATACCACCACGCCTGACCGGTAATTGAAATTGGAGAGAGAGATAGTTCACACGGTAATAACAGCTAAGCTTTATGATATGCTTGTTTTGTTTGGGGCTTTGGTATGTTTTGTTGGTGTTCACTCATTTGACCCTTGAAAGTGTGAAATGCCCTCTGGTCGCTTGGCCTGGCCCTTGCCTTCTGCTCTGCTGTCCTGGGGTTGGAGCTCAGCCAGACTGGCCCCCGCTGTTAGACACCGTTAGCCTTCAGTTGGTCCTGAGTGTTTATCACAGCTCGTTCTCTGAGTTTAAATTTCTATCTGATTTGTGAAACAAGTCAGGCTCGAGAGAAATCCTACAGTACTTGCTTTGTAAAGTGAATAAAACAATGATATTTTTCTAATCCCACTTGAGTACTGGGTTATTTCTTTTCAGATACATTTATCATAGCCTGGCGTGTGATGACTGGCACTTACAATCCCTGCTGTCATGAGGCTCGGGAAGGAGGATCGCCAGGGGTCGGAGGCCAGCCTGGCCTACCTAGTTCAAGGCCAGCCTGAACTCCATAGTGAGCCTGTCTCAAAGAGAAAGAAATCATCATCATCAGGTTCAGCGAGGCCCACCAGGCTGGTTGGGCTCCGCTTCCTCACCCTCCCCTCTGCCTCCCTTTCAGGTTACTCGGTGGCTGTGGGAGATTTCAACGGAGACGGCGTGGACGGTAGGAAGTGTTTGAACTGCGTCTGTTCAAACTGTTGTTACAGTTTTTTGACTTCGATGTTTGTCAGTGCCTGGTTGCAGGGAGCAGCGGTCAAGGCCCGCACTGGACACATCTTCATTCCTCTGTTCCTCTCCTCCTCCGTCTCTGGGTCCGCTCTCCAGCTGCGAGGGATCTGTCCCGTTCCCTACTGTCTGGCTTTTATTGGCTCTTCATGCTCTGGGTTCTCAGATTAGAGAAACCGCGTGCTCTTCTCGCGGGTCTGATTATTTTCCTGGACATTTCCGTGTCAGGGCTCATCCACCGTCCCGCACACGAGTTAAGCCGACCCCTTGTGGCTCTCAGAGCTCCCCACAGCAAGCTCAGACTGCCGATGTTGATCACATTTCTCCACCACACCAGCCTCAATGCGTTTCACTTTCCGGTGCTTAGATACTGTCTTCTCTGTCTCCTTTAGCGAGGTTACAGATGATTTGGGGTATTATTTGCATATATTTGAATCGGCCGGGGATTTAGCTCAGTGGTCCCACTGCCTGCCTCACAAGCGCAAGGTCCCGAGTTCAATCTCCAGTACCCCCCCCAAAAGAATGACACTATTTTGTAAATTTTATTTTTATAGTTTAAAATGCTGGGGTTATTTATTATAGAGTCAATTTTTTAAAAAAAATCTCTATTTTCTACCGAAGTAATAAAAGTTAAAGATCTCTGACATAACCACTTAGGCCTGTTGTTTCCAACGTTGGTCTTCCAAATGAGTAATTAAGTTTATTTTTTTCTTTTCAGACTTTGTTTCAGGAGTTCCCAGAGCGGCGAGGACTTTGGGAATGGTAGGAAAGAGTAAAAAGTGTCTCAGAAAAATCTGGCCATCTCCTGTTTTACTGTATTTCATGTACTTTGCTTCCCTTCCACAGGTTTATATTTACGATGGGAAAAACATGTCCTCCTTACACAATTTCACCGGTGAGCAGGTACGCCTTCCCACGAAACTGTACACGCTTTGGGAGAACTTTGGAAAAGAGGAGTGGGAAAGCCCGGTGTGATCCAGCCACATGCATAACCCGTCAGACTCTCAGTTTGGTTGCTGCTTCTCAGTGTGTCTGTTGCATATGTCACAGTTGTGTAGCTCAGTGCAGAGGCCCTGTGTCCACCCCGAAGTGCACAAACCCAGCTCCTCTGTCCCTGTGTGATTTCGGAGAGCAAAGGAGGGGATGGTGTCTGGCCTGGGAAGGGAGTCGCTGGCGTGGCAGTGATGTACACGTGGTATTTTGCTGGTAATAAATGCAGGAATATAGAGAGGCCTCTCCCAGTCATCACTGCCAGTGGAATAGAAGCCACGCGAGACCCTGTGTCAGGGAGATGCACCCACGCTGCCCCTGCGCCTGCTCGAGCTGAGCCCTCTCAGCTGGTTGTGCCAAACAGGAGCATTTTCTCTTCTTCCTCTTCAGATGGCCGCGTATTTTGGATTCTCTGTGGCCGCCACTGACGTTAATGGGGATGAGTAAGTTTTAAAAAAATGTTTCCAGGAACTGGTTCCCTCTGTGTTGATAAACACTTTACCGAAACTGAACGTTCTTCCTTCTGTTTCTTCGTCCCCTTCTTGCTGATGTCCTTTCTCCTTAAGGCAGCCCAAGCGAGTGAATCCCTGATGTTTAAAGATAGCTTTTGTAACGAGACCAGCGTCAGTCTTACAGGGACCTGTAGTTTGTAGGGGCGCAGGAGGAAGGCTGGGCTCCCAAGCGAGAGCTGCAGGCGTTGTTTTGTGCGAGGAGCTGGCGGGGAGGGAAACTGAGTCAGGGCGACTCCGGCTTCTGCCCCTCAGCCTCGCGGACGTGTTCATCGGAACCCCGCTCTTCATGGACCGGGGCTCGGACGGCAAGCTGCAGGAAGTGGGGCAGGTCTCGCTGTGCCTGCAGGCGGCGTCCGGGGGCTTCCAGACCACCAAGCTCACTGGCCTCGAGGTCTTCGCGCGCTTCGGCAGCGCCATCGCGCCCCTGGGGGACCTGGACCAGGACGGATTCAACGGTGAGACCCCATCCCCTGCGGCTCCCTGGCTGTGCAAGTGCAGGAAGCCGGGCTGCAGACACGGGCCTGTAATCCCAGCACTCCGGGAGGCCGAGGCGGGAGGGTCATAAATTCTAGTCATCCTAGGCAATTTAGTGATTTAGTGAGAACCCTGTCTTGAAATTGAAAAGGAGGGGGTGGGGTGTAGCTCAGTGTGAAGACTCTGTGTTGGGTCTCCGATAGTGAGCAGGAAAACAATTCATGTGAGCAAAACTTATGTCTTGGAAAGATGCAGTCTCACCAGGTGAGACCAAATTTAAACAGGTGCTTTTTTTTTCCCCCTTAAAAATCAAACGTATTTTTTCAAACATCTCTCAGGAGTTCCTGCAGCTCAGGAGGGAGTGGAGGGTGGTTGCCCCAGCCTCCTGCAGGGCCACAGCGCCCTCTGCTGTCCCTGTGGCTACAGGTGCCAAGAAGCTTCCCAGGCACGTTGGAAAGGCCTTGCCGAGCCAGCTCATACAATTCTGTTTGTTTTTCATTGCTGGGAAGGGAACTCAGACCTAACTCTTGCTAGACAAGCACTGCACAATGGAACTATGTGCCTCGATCTTTGTATTTTGAGACAGGGTCTCTCAGAATAGCTCAGGATAACCTCAAACTTGAGATCCTCCTGCTTTTGCCTCCCTGGTAGCTGGGAGTATAGGCATGGACTGTTGCTATCTATAAAGCATAACTTATTGTAGCTAAGAAGTTCTGAGCACGGTTATGTGTCTCTTTGTGGGAAAATGTCCTTGGTATGAGCCCATTGTTTTATAAATCTCATTTGAGCACATATAGTGTCTTAGTTACTTTTGCCATAGCTGAGACAAAATACCCAACACCTGCGAGTTAAGGAAGGGAAGGTTTATTTAGCTCACAGTTTGTAGAGGTTTCAGTGCATAATTGGCTGGCTCCAAGGTAGGGTGGCGCAGCAAAAGTTCATTTCAGAGGAGAAACAGTCCATGACAGGCAGCAGAGGGTGAAGACAAGCCTCTTCCTGTCCCTTATATCCATGCTACCATCATTAGGGCAGTGCCCAGCCCATCAGTGGATTGCTTTAGCAATCACCCATCCTTAATCTCATTACCCTTGATCCTAGCCCTGCATCATTGATCAGCCACACACTCTAGATCCAGCCACCTCTGAAAAAGCCCACCTGTGACTGCACAAGCCTTTGGGGGGACATCTAGATGCAAGCCATGACAGCTATCTTTAAAAAAGACAGACAGTGTTGACTTTTGTTATATGACCGTTTTTAGAGGCACGAAACATAGATTGCCAAGAGTTTTGGAAAGAATACTGTTAAGAACTTTTTCTAGAGATCACAGAATGGAGAAGTGAATTGTTGGCTTGTATGTGATTAGTAATGTATAGATGCACCCCTAGAATGTACAGGAAAGCTATTAGAAAGACAACTTTGAAAATACAGAGGACCCAGTGTCCAGGGAGAGAGCGCTTAGGCTCTGGACCGCGGTCCTTTGTCCTGCAGTCATCGGTCGGACACGAGGAGGGTCACCGTTCCTAACTCTGCAGGTTTTCGGGGTTGGTGGACAGCTAGTAGGTACATGTTGCTCCCTAAGGGAGCATCTTAAAGACTTTCGTCACCAGGAGTATAACATAGATCGAGTGGCGCTCCCACGTCAAGCTCGTAGCAAAGCTGTAAGAGAGTGCTGTAGGGCAGACCAGACCTCTACAGATGGGTACCAGAAAGTGCCTCGAGAATGTGGGGCTAGGGGCCGGTTTGGGGGTTCCCTGTTGAGTGAGGTATGTAGGGTCCCCTCACTGGGTGGCTGGGTGTGTGTGTATGCGCGCATGCACACGCGTCTGGATCTGTGTGTGTGAGTTCCTCATGAGTCAAGCGTCACTGCCCCGTCTTGCCATTTCCTCGCCGCTCCGTCAGGAAAGCCATAGGTACTGACCAGAAGGTGCATCAGACACAAGCAGTGAAGGCCTCCAGACAACCGCCACGCTAGTGAGAGCGGCTAGCGCTTGCTGCTCTGCAGCCCTGGGACGGCTTCATGAAGCCCCAGGGTAACTTTGTGCGTTTTTTGTCTGTGCACCCCAGAAAAATAGAGGAAAAAAGCAGAATTGGAAAAGAGCAACTGGAATGATCAGAGGAGGAAATAAATTGCGTGAAGGGAAGGGCTTTTCGGAGGTGACAGTCGGGAGAGTATGACCACGTGGGGAATGTTGAAGGATTCATATTAGTATCCAACATCAGAGCCACCTTAAAATGCGTACTTTCTCAATGCATAAATCCGTTTTGACATTGTGCTTGCTTTTGACAGCTTTCACAGGGAATAAAGAGGGGCTCTTTTATGTAATTTAAAAACTTGTTTTTGTTGTTGTTTTGGGTTTTTTTGGTACTGGGGATCGAACTCAGAACCTTGAGCTTGTGAGTCAGGCAGGCGCTGTGCCACTGAGCTAAAAAATCCCCAGCCCTAAACTTGTTTTTAAAATGTGCAGAGGGGTGAGGTAGGCACAATGGTCACGCTATTGATCTTAGGAAGCATATGTTTTCTGTTGAGTCAAACAGTAAGTAGAGATGCACTGCAGAAATCCAGTAATGGTAGCAAGTAGAATTTTAAAAGAAACAAGCTGGCTGTGTTGGCACACCCCTGCAGTTGTAGCACTGAGGAGGCTGAGGCAGGAGGATCGCTGCAAGTTCAAGGCCAGCCTGAGCTGTAGAGCAAGGCCCTGTCTCACATAATGAAAACAAGGCCAGGTAATCAAGCAAACACTGGATGGAGAGGTAGAGGAGAGCAAATGAAGCCCTCTGTGACCCAGCCAGGACTTGGACGGGCAGAGGCCGGCAGGGCTGGGCGGCAGTGGGGACAGAGGAAGACCCTGCTCGTATTCCGCAGTGAGGGACCCGGTGCAGCAGACGGCACTGCAGAGCTGCACCCCCAGCTCGGATTGTACCTTTTCTCAGAATTTAAGGTTTTCTTTATTTATGCTGTTTCAGTATAAATTAAGCACAATCAAGATGAAATCGTAACTTTCAGATTTATGAGCCAGAGTTACTATTGCTCAGAAAAAAAAAATCAAAAACCCATGCGTAAATAAACCAACTAGAACCTGGAGATCTAGAATGAACCTTTTGCTGAGTGTCCCACCCCTACCCTCCGTCCCTGGCTTTTTTATTTTTTGCTTTTTGACACGGTGTTGGGGATGTAGTGTAGGCCGCCCCTGCCTCCGCTGTCTGCACGAGTGCTGGGATTGCACCCGGACTCTGCACCCCCAGTGCCAAATGTGAGATATTTTAGGTCCGGAAAGATTAGCTGGCTTGCCCCTGGGGCGATCCAGACTGTCTGGCTCCGAATTAGAATTAGGGTCGTTACTGAAAGTTTGGCTTCAATCTCCCTGCACTCCCCTGCTGGAGTAGCTGTCAGGACACGGGAGGCTGCAATCCTGCGTGCTCCAGCCCAGCAGAGGATCTGCCTCCTCCTTCCAGGCTTCTCGCTCACAGATTCCCCTCGTTCTCCTGTCCCCTGCAGATGTGGCCATCGCGGCCCCCTACGGCGGAGAGGACATGCAGGGCCTGGTGTACATCTTCAACGGGAGGGCAGCTGGCCTGACTTCGTCACCGTCGCAGACCCTGGCAGGGCAGTGGGCCGCACGCAGCATGCCACCCAGCTTTGGCTACGCCCTCAAGGGCGAGGCGGACGTGGACCGCAACGGCTACCCAGGTGGCGGGCCGGGGAGGCGGGGCTGCCCAGGTGGGGGCCGGGGAGGCGGGCCCACTCCTGTTCCTGGGACTGTTGGTTCCAAGACTCATTCTAACCACTGGAGGGGATAAGATAGGAAGCAGCTCAAGGAAAACATTGTTAAAGCTACAAACAGGGACTAAGTATTTGGTCCAGGGTTTTGAAATGTTAGACTCTTTTTGTTTTTAATGATGTCAGATCTTTAGAGAGCAGACCAGGGTGGTGAACCACTGGCACGTGTGTGGCTGTGTTTTTTTTTTTTAAGACAAGAGACATTAATGTAGGAGCTGTTTTTCCTAAACTAACGCCTTGGTGTTCTGGTTTAGTTGCAGCATTGGCGCTTTGTGAGAAGTGGGTTTTGGGTTTGCAGTTTGGGAACTTGTCTAAAAGGTTCACCGTCGCCAGAACCATGTGTGCCAGTTCCATATCAAAGCTAATGCAGGGCCAGGGATTTAGCTAGCCCAGTGAGGTGGCCTGAGTTCAATCCCTGGTACCGGAAAAAACAAAAGAAGCTATTGTACTTGGTCCTTGGTGATTTGAATGCTGTCTGCTATCACAGTCAACGAGTCTGTGTGTGCTTTTTGGTTTTGTCTTTGAAACAGGAGAAACAGGGATAAAAAGGAACTTTATAATGGAATCGTAAAACACACAGGCATCTGGAAAGCTTTTTCCACTGGGGGACAAACATTTCCTTATTGCTGCTCCTTTTACTGGGTATTCACTGAAACAATTCATACATGGATGGAAATCCAGTTCATGACGAACATTTGCCCTGAGGAGAGTTAGTTACTTATTTCAAATATTTTAGCCTCACCAATGTTATCTTACACCCTTTTAGTGTTGCATATGTGTTTAAATCTTTACGTACATCGAGGATATTCACACGTTTCTCCACCTTCTCTTTAAGACTTACTTGTGGGGGCCTTCGGCGTAGACCGAGCTGTCTTATACAGGTATACTTCGTGTTCTCCGTCTGCTTCTGTAGTCTAGGAATGCTCCAAATTACTTGAAAGCTTTTAAGTGAAGCGCCAGTGTTTGAAGTGCAGTTTGAATTTCCTGCGGGCAACTCATACTTTGACACAAGGAGGTGTCAAAGAAGCAAAGACTGTGGAGTTTTTATGTAGAAAATCATTCCTAATTTTCCCTCAGTGTGTTTGACGTTTTGTCCAAAGACATTCTCCTGTGTTGTAAAATCTCTCCTCCTGTTTTTTAATCTCTAAAAACCGCATGGGTGGGATGGGGTAGCTCAGTGATGCAGTGCTTGCCTAGCGTGCCTGAGGCCCTGGGTTCCATCCAGCAATAAGAGAGAGAAGTGTATGGGTTTTTGTTTTCCGTTTGAGGCAGGAAATGAACTTGGTGTTATGCCCCAGAGTTCTGTGACCACTGAGCAGTGTGTGATGAACCACACCGTGAATATTTCATTACAGCGATGTGTGTACACTCCTGCATCTGCTTCCCTCCTCCGCACGTAGCCCTGGCCCTCTGTACCTTCCCAGTTCCACATGCCTTAGAACGGCACCTGCAAGTGGATTAAGATGTTTGCACATCTGTGGGCCGAGTTTATGCCTGGCAGGAGACCTGACGTCAGTGCTGGGAAATAGTGATTGTGTCAGGCAGCACAGTCACAGCCCAGGGAGGATGGGTGGACTTACAGATTTTGGGGCTTTCTCGATGCCCGATGGTCCTGTTGACCTGAGCCTGCTGTATTTCTGTATAGACTTAAACTTGTGCCTGCGAACTGCGGAAAACATATTTCCAGGTTGAGTGTCCCTTACCTGAAACTACCATAAGTGTTTCAGGTCTTGGAATATTACGTTACATAAATCACGTTTAAGGATGTGTGTATAACGAGGCACTTTAGCTGAGGTATAGGCTTTTTCCTCTCCCACTAGAACTCTGCCTTGGGTGTGTCTTAGAGGCTATTCCCTGTTGGCCCAGGTCGGTTTTGCCTGTAGTAGGCGAAGGTGTTCATGGCCCATTTCCCTTCCATGCTTACTGAGCTCAGAAGGGCTGGCCAGTTTTCCCTGTTTCCCTGGAACTGAGTGACTTTCCAGGACACAGGGCTTTTTGTCTGAAATTAGGACATTTTTGGACAAATGGGCATGGTTGTTCATCTTACATTTAGGTCCCTGTTGCTTTTGCTGTTACAGTGTTTCAATAGACCTTATATCATAGCCATACAGAGTGTGAACCTGAAACGCTTACATCAGTCTAATTTTTTATGACATTTTTCTTTTTTCTTCCTTTTCTTTTTTAAATCTAGAGCCAGACCAGTTATCACCGTCAATGCTGGCCTTGAAGTGTCACCCAGCATTTTAAATCAGGACAATAAAACTTGCCCGCTCCCTGGGACAGGACTCAAAGTTTCCTGGTAAGAATAATTGGGCAGAAATAGTTGTGATTCCGATTAGTAAGTAGTTCGCTCCTTTAAGGGCTGAAAGATTCAGTATCTTGTGAATCTACTCTGTTCTTGTGTCACAAAATGGCTTATAGAAATTGTTTTCTAAAGAAGATATCTAGAAGGCTGTAGAAATAATCTGTCAACTAGCATAAAAGCACTTTTTAAAGAATTATGATCAGTGAATGTATCGGAAAAGAAAGTAAAGCTAATAAAATTTCAAAACTCACTTTATATTTAATTCTAAACTGGCCCTGGAACATTTAAAAATTAAAAAGATATGTCCCATTTCAGATTTCCTACCTACGAAGATCTATATGAAAAAATTATCAGTGCCAGGGATTTAGTTCAGTGGTTCCACCGCCTGCCTTGCAAGCACAAGGACCCAAGTTTGATCCCTGGTACAAAAAAAAAAAAATTATCTTCCTCTAGCATTTTGGGTTTTCACTTCTTCTTGTGCTCGTTTACTCCTAAGTCCACAGTCTGAGTTCTTCTCTACAGTGTTGTTTGTCAAGTCTCTCATACGCTACCTTCATGATTTCTACTATATTTTTATTCATGTATTTTCTTGAGTGTTCTTTAAATTGACACATGTTCAAAATATTTAAAAAATAAGGGCTGGGGATTTAGGTCAGTGGTGCCGCCGCTGCCTCAATGCAAGGTCTGAGTGCAAGTTCTGGAGTTCAATCCCCAGTACAATAATACACTTTTTTTTTTTTTTTGGTACCAGGGATCAGACTAGGGACCTTG